TCTTCATTTGACTTGATTTGTAGATAGTTTATACTCGTATCAAGGAGTTCTTCATATGACTTGATTTGTAGATAGTTTATACTCGTATCAAGGAGTTCTCGATATGTAGACATTTTATTCTCGTGTCAAGGAGATCTTGATATGTAGACATTTTATACTCATGTCAAGGAGCTTTATATTTGACTAGTAGACCTTTTATTCTCGTGTTATATAGACATTTTATACTCGTGTCAAGGAGCCATATAGATAATTTAAGCTCTTATCAAGGAGCATTTGATTTGGATATTTGGATAGTTTTGGCTCATTTCGAGGAGCTTTATAGATAGTTTAGGCTCATATCAAGGAGCATTGTATTATATAGATAGTTTAGGCTCATGTCAAGGAGCATTGGAATATGTAGATAGTTTAGACTCATATCAAGGAACATTTGAATATGTAGATAGTTTAGGCTCGTATCTAGGAGCATTGGAATATGTAGATAGTTTAGGCTCATATCAAGGAGCATTGTAGATAGTTTAAGCTCGTATCAAATAGCATTTGAATATGTAGATAGTTTAGGCTCATATCAAGGAGCATTTGAATATGTAGATAGTTTAGGCTCGTATCAAGGAGCATCTGAATATTTCATGGAGCTCTTCATGTGACCTTCTCACTCCGACCATTTCCATTTTTTTGTGGCGCCTCCTATTACGGCGCATTCCCATTGACACTGTGTGCAGGCGAGAGGGTTCTTCTTCCCCTCTCGCTGCCATTGTTGTGCTGAGACAGATACCTTTGAGATCGAGACTTTCACCCATCTTTTCCTTGAGAGTGAGACTGTGAAGAGAGTGTGGGAGCACTATGCCAGATATACTCATATTCCCCTACCCACTACAGACAGTTTTTTTGAGCTTCTGAGTTTTTTCGCTCACCGCACACACAGTAGACACGTGGGCTTCCTTATTCCTTGTCTGATCATATGGGCCAGCTGGACAGAAAGGCGGGTTTACTGAAAGTGGGTTTTGACCAAATTATAGTTCTCACTTGGATGGCTCCTATTAGGAGTTATTGGATCAAGCAGAACTGTACAAAAAATACTTTTCTACACAATTTTGATAATACAGTTGCTTACCCCGAATTAAAATTGGGAGAATAATACGCTTGGTTGGTTGGGTTCTTGAAAATACTTTATTTCTCCTCTCCCCAACAAGGAAATAAATTTCACCAATATTAGGGTAGAAGATATTATACTTTCTTGTGCTCACATTATTTTGCAGGTTGACAGAAACCTCTCTCTCCTCACCGCCCTGGGTAGACTCACGACGAGAGACTGGACATGGTGTACACCGCCCCATCGTTTGAGGCCACCACCTCCTTTACCTGTCCAGCATCCACGACCCAGGACCGTTGTTTGGATGAAACCCAAGGCCCCTTGGGTTAAGCTAAACACTGATGGCGCTTTCAACAGACATACCGGAGCTGCTGGAGGAGGGGGCCTGATTAGGGATCATGGTGGGGCACCAATCTCTACCTTCCATGGGCCACCCTGGGCCTACTCGATTTATGATGCAGAGATTCAGGCGCTCCAGATTGGTCTCGAGATTGCCGCCTCGATCTCCTCTCTTGTCTGGATAGAGATGGATGTTGCGGCTGTCATCACACTTTTGACATTCGGCCACCAAGGCTCATGGTAGATCCAACATCCTCTTATGCGTATCAGAGACACCCTCCGCTCGATTCATTACCAGATCTCACACATATTCCGGAAGGGGAACCGGCCTGCCGATTTCCTTGCTAGCACGGGGGCATCTATACTCTAGAGACGCACCCTTCTTCCTGAGGACATTCCCCTCCGGCTTCGGACGCTCATTCGGATGGACCAGTTAGAGTACCCACCCTACAGATTCGGTCGACCGCCACCTCCTGCCCCTGACTAGATTTGACATTTTGGACTCCATGTCAGGTCACTCTGACCAGGACGACCTTTTATGAAGATTTGATTTTAGATCCACAGCGGATATTTTTGTGATCCTTGTATTTTTTTTTTCTCTGTTTTAGATGTTTCTCTATGTATTTCCGACTTGGATGTTGACCATGGACTTTTTTAGCCCTAGCTGAGCCATTATATTCACATGTCGGGGGTGTAGTCTCAACCCCATCCCAATCTGTGATGCTTATATATATATAAAAAAAATATTCCGTGATTTTTTATTTTGGAGAATAGAAAAAAAGCTAAAAAATATTAAAGATGCAAGTTTTTGATTTAAAAGTTTGGTTTTATTATTTTTTTTTTTTTTTTTT